TGTGGGTATTTTTAGATTTACTTTTTTAATTTTTTGCATGGGCCTGACCCCCTACCGCCCAGCACTCGGTACAGCCTTAGCTGATTATATTACGTAGTTTTCTATTATAAACTTTTAAAATTAAAAAAATTTAAAATAAATATCGTTCCAATTCTGGTAACTTTTACTTTATTTCTTTTTAGACCCCACTTAATATATTTTCGACTTGGCGCCTTACGTTTATGTGTCATTTTCTATAAATACATATTTACATACAACCAAGATCAAATTCATCCTCCTAATGAGGGTTCCCTCGGCGTTTCACTTAGTATGTGATAGTTAAAAATGACTTCCCTAACATGTAAAAGTTCAACTCACGATTTTAATTTAGTAATAGAAGAGACAAAAGCGGGGTGCGAGAGCACTTTGGCGCCAGCAATTAGATGGTTTCCGATGTAGTGTAGTGGCCTTCGATGACAAAAATAAATGAACAGCTCATACAATGTATGGCACACTCTTCGTCTTATTAACTGCATTTTATTTTAATGGTTTATGTATTATACGAGGGTGGATTGATAAGTTTCCGGCCTAACCAAGAGATGACGCCACTAGGCCTACCTTGAGGTGACATTCTATAGTACCATCCTTGGATAGCTTGTAGCTANTCAATCGTATTATCTATGGTCTAGTTATAGACAGAGATATATATATATTAGGCCAATCAAACCCATAGATCAAACGAAGATCAAACCCATTGAATCATACCATAGATTAAATCCATATACGACATATTCATGAGCATAGATAGTACATGAGTGATGAGTAATCTATGGCAAGGCGTGTTCATTTGTAATTTATAATTACGGATCACCTGTTAACAACTACAAATTACAAATTAATTTGTGTTGTAATAACTTTAGTGCTTAAAGTTATCTCAGAAAATGAAACTACTCAATGGAAACATTATAAAACAATTACTATTGGTCGTTAAACGATTTGATAACTGTAGGCTTTTAAAAATAAGTATAATTTGCTTATTGAAATCCACTCTTAACAAGATTTTAATGCTAATGACCTAAGCTAATCCATGAATAGATTAAATAATTAATACGATTAAAAAAGAAAACGACAGACACAGCACAGTTAACATCAACGGGAGCGAAGCCGCTAGTAAAACCTATCAAGTAATTTTGGACACACATTGTAAGGGGTGCAGAAAAGGACACAGAATACCTTTTATCTAGAAAAAAATGCTCTCGAGGGATAGAATAATTATTAGTCTTATGTGGTCGTGGATGATCTTTGACATGTATTTAGGACATCAGTCGCGAGTAAAACCTATCAATAAACTTTGCTTGTGAATAATTGCAAAAAATAATTATTGTTTTCTTCACGAGCAGTGAAATAATTTACTCTTACATTAACGTTTAATGCTACACAATTCATTATTTTTACCTATTTTTTTCTAGAGAGCAAAGGGCCTGGTGCGAAAAGGGCAACAATTCAAAATCGTCAACTAAAAAGAGGCAACATCCTCGATCTCTTTTTCACTGTTGTTACCACGACATGTGCAATCATGTCGACAGCCCAGAGACGAGACTTCTTTTAAATAGCTCCTTGTTCGGTAAGTGTCTCATTAATATGTAAATTCCTGTGCGTTTAATATATATTTTATAAGTACCTGTTCGTGCGCGAGTAATTTTATTGAAAAACGAAAGATACACAGTGCTTCCTCTTGCGTTTAAAGCTAACCAAATCACTAACGCATCACATCTTTAAATCAGAAACACACATTCTCGTTTTACCAAGAACAAGTATACAATAACATGACAAGTTTAGACCGACGGGCTCCAATAAAACTTTTTTCACTTAATACTCTCATTTTGTGATAAATATTATGTAGAATATTTACGAAAAGCTATATTCTAAAATTTTCAGACTTTTCTGTTAACTTTTTTAAAAAAAGTACCTTGAATCTATATGTATATATGTAAATACATATATTGTATATAGCGATTTCCGTATGTAATAAATATTACTTAAATAGTGATTTAATTACATTTTCTAGAAGAAACAATGAAAAGTATAGAGGATCGTCAAGTGACCGAAGCACAACAAGAAGATTTACTTTACACAAATTCAGACGTATGGTTTAGAGCGGCCACTATAGCTCTACCAATATGTGGACTAGTCATAGTAATTGCCCTAGTTCTTTTAGCTGTACGGTTACTACAGCCAGAACCAGAAGATATACCTAATCACAAACTGGGGTAAGTTTGTCTCCTTGCAATAGTACACTGTACATGTATAATTTCCTTTGCTAAGATTAGGGTTGTAAAAGTTGAATGATAATGACTATAAAAACATAACCGACGTTTCGCCTCCTATTCCGTGTTTCTATCAAAGTAGATTTTTAGGATAATGCCTAGTTCCCTCCCATATACCTGTTTTTAATTAAGGATTAAAATTTTCGGTATGTCGAATTCCCTCCTAATTATACATCAATTGCCTCCCAAAGGCGGCGGATGAACTTTATCAATTTGCTAAGATTTTCAATGTGAAATTTATGTTAAAATACGAAGTGTTTCATCTAATTTTAAAAAACTGTTAACAAGACAAACTAAAACTAATAAATTTTTTCTAGATGATTGCATCAAAAAGCTAGACGCACACGAATTTCCAAACATTGAATTTGTTAAGCTAATGGGAAACCATTTTAAACTTAAATCAGTAAGTAGTCGTTAACTTAATTATTGGAGCTGATATGAACGGGAGGGAACTCGGCTAGTACTCGGGAGGGAATTCGGCTATCTATATTTTAACCAAAACTACCTGTACAAATGTCTACTGGCAATGAGTTCATAGATTTTGTTTTTCAAACGTTTCGCCGCTTTCCATTTGGGCCATTTTCAATGGTTCCGATGATAAGCAGTGTACATATAAAGATGTTACGATGTGAGTAGAATAAGGGACGAAACGTTTGGTATCTATTACAGTAAAATAACCACAGAAAACCTCAAACCAAACCATATTATATTTAGATCTCCGATTTATTTATTGTTCTGAATGAAAACTTTTAAATTAACCTTTCCTGCTTGTAGTTAATAATTTATTATAATTGCATGGCTCGATTTTGAATGTTAACTTTACCTATACCGTTAACAGGTGATTCAGAGTATATGTACCTACCTATAGGTATTCGTACACTTCTTTTTTGTAAGAGAATTTGCTTACACACTTTTACTTTTCGAAACGTGCATGTTCATTATAAAACGAATCAGAAACCTTGCTCAGGCGCCAGGTGGACGTCAGTTTTCTATATAAGTATATCCTATTGTTTATTGCAGTTAATTACTTTCTTATAAACGCGTCCGTCCGTAAATTTATTTAATGCGTACAATTTCTGCGATTGGAATGTTATATCCGAGTGATCTAATGACTTAAACATTTTTTTATTTATAGAAACAGAAAAAAAAAATCATTACGATATTATGCAAATAGTATAATAGACAATGAAATGTTCACACAATTCTTCATGGCAATTAAATTGCATTGAATCTATTTTAATGTATAGTTATTAACTTGAAACAAACTAATTATTTCCAAGTTGTTTTTTGCCTTGTTAAAATTATTACAATCGAAATCCAATAAAATACAAAAATTCATATTAATATTGTAATTAAACTATGTGGCTGTAATTTACTGCTTTTTAGGACTAAAAATTTTTTAGTCAATATTAATATTAAGTTTTGACTTAAAAATAATATAATGCAAATTATAGCCAAATATTGCTGGTTTGTCCATATTTAAATCTAAATAAATTTGTTTAAGACATTTTTACTTCTAAATTGTAAAATTTGCTTTAAAAAGTTGTTGTCATTGTTACCGCATTAAATGTTATAATGTAATAAACATTATGCATAAATAACTATTCTAAGCAACCAATTACTCACATCGTAACAAGTACTAACATTAATAATAAATACCTATTTCAAATATTCTTACCTTATTCTGAAGGTGGAAAGCCTTTGAGGATACACTTACTATTCATCTGAAACAACAAAAAAAATTGTAAGCTCAAAAATTTTAACAGTGCGTAAACAAGTTTCACTTCAAAAAAAATCATTAGATCGATAGAAAATCTAGTTTTATAAAGTCGTTGATAATTTTTGATACGTATTAAGGACAGTAACGAGGGAGAAAGTACTTGTAAAACTTACTAACCATACATATATTGCTTACACGTGGCGTTTTTATAAAATATTTAACTGATAACACATTAATTACAATCATTCTTTAGAAGCAGACAAAAAACGCGTCCTCCAACGTCTCCTTTTTTTGGGAGTATTTAGAATATTATCTAATCAAATATAAATAGAACCACTTAATTTCTAATTTTTCAGATAAGTGGCTATTGTATTTATTAGCAGTTGAAACACTGTAAACTCTTTATACGTATTTAAAACGTGTTAATTATCAATNATTTAGTTTTTTTTTATTGTACAGGATGCCGCCTTATATTCTAACACACCACAGTGATTTGAGCAGCCGTCGTCACAACAGGATAATAAGAAGTCCCATTAAAAGTTCCCACCATCACAACCCCTTATTTTCTAACCATACGGAGGATTATACTGGTCAGTCGTACCTTCCTCTTATTATTCAAAAGGACAAGGGCAATCTAGACGCTAATTGTGATAAAAAAAATGAAACGCACGCAAGATTTAATATATTAAATGATAATAGTTCCCTAGTGCCTTATTCATTTTACGATAGTAAAGAAATTACAGGAGAAAGCGATAAATATCAAAAAAGTGTCGAGTACGATTACAAAGAAAATCTCAATACAGTTACCGACAATAATTCCTTAACAGGAAATCGTAATTGTTTTAGTGATGTACTTACAATTAGTGAAAAGACTTACTGCAAAGAACCGATTTCTTGAACTTTGTGATTGTGCCAAGTATATTTTATTTTGTTGAAGTGATTCTGTATGCACATAAGTAATATGATTTTACAGAAATACTTCTTAATATTATTTATTCCCAAAGTTAATCTTTATAACGTTCGTAGAACAAAATAAAAAGGTGTAATATAAACTGTTAAACTGCTAGAATAAAGCCTTACTTTCTGAACCTATTGAACCTATTCGATTAAGTAATTAAATTCATCGAATATTCAAATAGAATAACTCATGCAAATTTTCACCAACGTTAACATTTTCTTTTTGCAACTCAGTAAATGGTCTTCAAAAGGACAATACATATGTTGAAGAAATATGGCTGTGAAATTGATTAAAAAAATGATATGTCTTTCCTGTTGTTTAATCTCTTAAAAAGCAATCGAAAAGTAATAAGGCATAAAAAAATGATAAAAATCTACCTGTTTGAAATTTTGTATTGTATCCTATTTTTGTACTGCATATTCGGTGTAATTTCACCAAATAAATATCGTAAACTACTATACCTATATTATGTCTGAAATTACTTTGGTTTTAAATATCAGCTTAAATAACACCTGATTTAGTATATAAGAACATAATTGTGATAAACTACTGACATTGCCAAGTGCTCAGACTGTCGTTACTGTAAATATACATTTAATACTTTTACTAGTTCTATAACTCTATTTTGTACTAGTATATCTGCAATATTTTCTGTGGCATGTATGTATATTCTTACAATATGTAATTATGTTACATGACGTTTAATTTTATAATTGTATTTATTATTTTTAAGAAAATAAAAACTTTAAGCAATTATTTTGTTTGTGCCAGACTATTTTAAGGATACACAAAAGTATTAAATACACAATTACAAATAAGAAAATACATAGAAATCAAAGCTAATTGATAAGACACAAATACAAAAATTACATGCCAAGAACTTACATAATTTGTAGGTACTTGAGTTCTTCTTTAGGAGGTTTGCAATTCATGAATTAATATACGTAGTATAAAAAACAATAACTTAAGTTATGGTTTGTGTTACTCACTACTTTTCAAAACAACTGACTAAACTGGTGGCATAAGCATACTGCCAGCGACATCTACAAAGATTGTTTTACACTGCAAACACGCAGATGTACCACATTTATAAAAACTAATGCAACAGCACATACAACTGCCACAAATGGCAATACGACACACGTATGTATGTTAATTTGTAACGTTTCATACCAAAAAGGTTCTTATGACAATACTTCGATGTTTCATTGTCTAGAGTTATTTACCTCTGAAAGTCCTATAGGACCATTATCAACTGAAAATTTAGTATTGGTGCATAATTTGGGTATAGGAAGGGAAGATAAACTTTAGTATAATTATTAGCTTAAAGACTATAGTTCAATCAAACATAGAATTATTGAAAAAGATTCTTACAGCTTTTGTTGATTTAAGGATGTGTAATGTTTTGAACGAAGGGAAATTATTATAGGTAGATGCCAAAGAAGAGTAAAATAAAAAAACAATTAATATACAGAACAATAGAATTGTATAGAAAAACATTATAAGTTATAAAAGTATATGGAAATAAGACAAAAAAAGAACTCTGGGTGAAAAAGGCAAAATCAGGGCTCTAAATTATGTGTGCAATTTTTTAATATACATTTATGTGATTTAGAGAATAAAATTAATAAGGTGATGAAGTTTGGACGATAACTTATGCTGATGTTGTTACTTTAGTATCTACGAATCATGGTGCTTTTAATAAACTATTATTATACTAGTAATATTTGAGTATTAGTCAAACAATGGTTGAAGAAACATGTTAAATAATAAATAATGTTTCCTTTTTTCATATTTTGTTATGTTTACTTATGCTTATGTTTTAAAAAATTTAAACAAAANTAAAACGAACAATTAACTCTAAAAGAAGATTAATAAATTTCTTATTTATAAAACAAAAGACGGCAAACTCACTTGTCTTTTTCGGTACCAAAAATCGAAGCAAGATATTCAGCCATGTTGTTGTTAATATACCGCTTTACAAGACCTTAATTGTGTTAAACTTTACACTTATTGTTAAAGTATTTACGTTTTCTGAACAAGTACCACATTAATAATATAAGTTCACATTACAAACACTTAAATTCGAATATTTATAACGTTTCACACGAGAACTAACCGCTTAAGATAATTACCAGTCACAATGACAGGCACAACGCGCCACAGCGTCAATCGTATTATCTATGGTCTAGTTATAGACAGAGATATATATATATTAGGCCAATCAAACCCATAGATCAAACGAAGATCAAACCCATTGAATCATACCATAGATTAAATCCATATACGACATATTCATGAGCATAGATAGCAGCACATACAACTGTCTCAAATAGCAATGCAATACATACCTGGTATTTCAATTTTTGATATTTATAAGAACAATTATGGTAAAATTTGCTTATCTGTTACTGTTGAGTATCTCGAAACGTCTATAGGAACATTATCAAGTCAAACTTAGCATTATTCAATAAAAAATCATTAAAAGTTAAAAAATTGGGAATAAGATATCACGTGAAAGGGTTCTGATCACAAATTGCTACACAATTTTCTTTACACCATATACTTTTTAATTTACGACCAATATATAGTGTGAAAAAATACTATCCCACACTATCTCCACAATTTAAAGACTAAAAATAAAGGAAAAGCAAAAAATATTACTTAAAAGGTAAAGGATGGTTCTTTAAATTCTACGAAAAGAAGCAGAAGGCAGATATAACTGTATTGATTCAATTAAAAGAAATTGTAAAGAACGCCCAAAGACAAATCCGGCAAATGTAATTAGAAATCTCAAAATTTCTCAAAGAATTTTAGTTAGATTCCTGCCTGTTACTATTAAATTATGTAATGGTTTGTAGGGTTGCGGTCTAAAAATTACACAACTATACGTTTTTGCTATGTTTAGGTTTATTCAACCATATTCAGACTTTGGAAGTGTTACTGGTTGTACACAGATATTAACATATTTTTAACATTCTATCATGTTGAATAACTGCATGCATGCATACATATCTATGTACAAGCAGCAACATTTCAAAAGTTTGAAGATGGTTGAATAAACCGAAACGTTACAAAAAACATATAATTGTGTAATTATTTTACCGCCATCCTGGAAAAAACAAGGAAATTTACTCAAAAAAAGCAAATGATGATAAGATGACGATATAAAGACAAACTGTCAATTACTTATATAATAGTTATTTAACTCTAAAATATGTTGCTCTTAGAAACTAGAACTGTCTGAATTTTTTCGAAGGCAGTATACCTCATTAATCATGAAAATTGTACCATTTACTTTACTAGATAACTAAACTTTGATTTCGAAAATATTATAATTTCCTGCAGCACACAAACACTCAAGTTAAATTCACACGGATAATAAAACCACATTATGTAAAACATTAAGTAAAAATGTGAAAAAAAGAAACGTTTCTGACAAAGGATTTATTTATAATATTAAATCTATTACACCTACTCAATTTTACAATAAAATAAAAATACGTTTCTATTATTATTTAGAAAAGTAATAAGATGTTAGAGGACATAATAAAGATAGTATCAAAATTACAGTTACTATATGTACTATGAGTCTACAAAATTTTTTGTTAGATATATTACATATACCAAATGCAATCTACCGTAAATATTATGAAGCTGGGTATTGATGAAGTTTTATTTTTTAAAATTAACTTATTTTTTTTTGTAAATTTTAGTATCTTCCGCTTCTGCGATGACGCGGGGAACGAGAACGAGATCGCCTACGAGGAGACTTCGACTTTGAACGTCTTCCAATACCTCGCTTACGACGAGAATAAAGATATCTGTAAACATTAAATTGTTATGATTGTGTATTTGGAATAGTTTTAATTAAATTTTACCTTCTTAATTCTCTGGATATTGGTTTTAAATGCATGAAATTGCAAAAACCAGAACGTGTACATTCACCCATTTCATATTGGCGACAACAAGCCTCACGAAAGTCAGTAACTGGACTTAACTCAGCATAAACAGGACGACCTCCAAACCATCTGTTATTCAAATCATTTACTGCCCTTTCTGCATCTTCTTCTCGCCTGAACTAGAATATCATATATTATATTTAATTTATATTTGCTAGTAATAAATAATAAAACCAACCTTTATATATACATTACCAACCAAATGATCTCCTAAATTATCACACACGTTCATCTCCTCAATTTCTCCATACTTGTCTTCACATTCTACGAACACATCTTCAAAAAAATTATCATAATGTTCTTGCATTTCTTCATCAGAAACATTTGCAACCACTGAAAAAAATATGTTCACACAATGTAAAAATTCATCTATTTTATAAACTTACAGTGACTTCCATCAGCAGATTTTGCAGAGTTTTGTGGATTCACATACAAATTTTGTAATAAACAAGTTTGTGAAAATGTCGGTTTATTGTGAATTCTTGAACAACGATCTCCATGTCGACATGCTCCAATTTTAAAATAAAACGAACAATTAACTCTAAAAGAAGATTAATAAATTTCTTATTTATAAAACAAAAGACGGCAAACTCACTTGTCTTTTTCGGTACCAAAAATCGAAGCAAGATATTCAGCCATGTTGTTGTTAATATACCGCTTTACAAGACCTTAATTGTGTTAAACTTTACACTTATTGTTAAAGTATTTACGTTTTCTGAACAAGTACCACATTAATAATATAAGTTCACATTACAAACACTTAAATTCGAATATTTATAACGTTTCACACGAGAACTAACCGCTTAAGATAATTACCAGTCACAATGACAGGCACAACGCGCCACAGCGTCAATCGTATTATCTATGGTCTAGTTATAGACAGAGATATATATATATTAGGCCAATCAAACCCATAGATCAAACGAAGATCAAACCCATTGAATCATACCATAGATTAAATCCATATACGACATATTCATGAGCATAGATAGTACATGAGTGATGAGTAATCTATGGCAAGGAGTCAATTCAAAAGATGTTTACAATACCTTTACCGGAAATTAAAATCAGGAAATCAAATGGAAATCATATTTGATTCAAAGAATTGTAAAGTAAATGCAAAATAAAATGTATCTCATTCAGTAACAAGAAGAGGCAAACATTAACCAGAATACTTCCTATTTTATGTATTATTGATTAATCTATCAATCGCTAGATTTATATCACCTCCAGACGCGAGTAATGCTTGCAAATTTGCTTCCACATTATTAAATCCCATTGTTTGTAGCTGTTCTAGCTGCGATCTGAATCGTACCTCAAGAGGCATGGTATTCGTAAGTATCTCAGAAACGTTTCCTAGGGGAGACGTGTCTGGAGCATTTGGTGGAATAGGTGAAAAATTAAAAGCATTTAAGGTGTTGGGGTTGACATGAATTCCTTGATTTTCTCGATATGAATCAACTAGTGTGCTGACAAATTCAGGATTTAGAAACGAATGGATATGTTCAAAAATTGGCGAATTATTATTAGGAAGAGAACCAAGTCGCTGAGAATTATTTTCTTCTGGCTGGTTCGTTTCAGAACTTGCGCGTTCATTCCATGGATTTGGCAGAGGAATCCTATTTTCATTTCCTTGTTGCGGATTTGCAGTATCTTGCTCATTTTCTTGATCTCTTCCTGTTTGAGAATAGGGATTTCTTTGAAGAGCATCAATTAATGGCTCCTGCACTTCTTGATAAATTCGTTGTAAAACATTAAGTCCACCGGGGGTGTTTTCTAACTGCCTTAATGCACGATCGTTGCTTCTAAGTAATTCTTGATACATAGATGGATTGCGTGCTAAGTTTAACATTTCCTGAAGAAGCTCGCGATTGTTAAGTAAATGGTTTATTTCTGGGTTACGGTTTATAACTTCTTGAATTTGAGGATTTGCAGTCAAAAGAAGACGTACGGTTTCAGGATCGCTAGCAAGTCCTGAAACCATTGGATTGTTCAAAAGACTCTGAATTAATTCTGGATTCATATCGGACATGTTATCATTCAGAGTTGGCAGACTGGATGAACCAACATGTAAACCATGTAAATTTCCTAATAAATCGTTGCTTTCTAATCTGTACGGATTAGAAGAGGTTTGCACTTCAGGTGGTTGCGGAGGATTCTTAATAATAAGATAAACTGTGCTGCCGTCCTTAATATTATAAAATTTTAAATTATCTTGATCTTTCAAACTTTTACCGGCAAATATTAGCTGAAGTCTACTTATATCTTTATCGAATTTGTTTGAAAGAACAGCCTTCAGCTCTTTAATGGATAAAAGATGCGAAACTGTGACTTTTTGATTAGACTTTTGAGTTTTAATGTTTAAAGTGATCAGATCATTCTCTGTTTCGTTTAAATCTGCGATATTCTCAGTGTCTTTACCCTTTGAATGGTCAGAAGGTTCTTTAAATTTACCGTTTTCATCCATAAATTATGTACTATCGTTTTTTATATAAACGTCATTTATATGGTCACACGTCAAACTAATTAAATTTTCAAATCTTGCTGTCTGTGTAAGTGAAGATATGAATCATTAATTTACCTCAATATTTGGGTAAAGATCCTCTAAAAACGTTAACATATTCCAATTCAATATTTGCTTAAGGTAATATAAACGTAAATTCAAAATGTTAAAATTATTGGAAATATTGAAATATTTATGCTATCGTTGGTTAGACAAAAGCCAGCGTTATTGAAATTTAGTTTTAACCAGTGATGAAATATTGTAACCATTTTTATTAAAGTAGAAGTCGTAATCTGCTCACTTCACTGGGCATAACCCTTTTCACCCCTTCATAGGTAGACTTTTTTAAAATGCCAACGTAGTAGGGGTAATTTTTCAAAAGTCCTTCCCTATTCCTTGTACACATCATAGAGCCTCTGTACAAAATTTCAGTTATTTAGGACTAAAGTATGAGCAACTACTTTGATTAAACTTTAAAGCTTAATAACTCATTCAGAATGAGTTTAATAGCAAAATTCTACTGACTTTTCTTTCTTAAAATTTCACGCTCCTTCCGATGATGTAATTACAGTGAGTGCAATTGTTTTAACACCCTGTATATATAGTTTTAGCTCTTAAACCAATGCCCCCTAACTTCTAACCTATACCAGTGATTACGTGAAAATCTATAGTAAATATGTAAACACTTTTAAAATGGAAAGCTTTTTCACTAAAATAGAAAATAAAGACGCGTTTTGCAAGGTACGTAATTTAAACAGTTGTTTATGGTTTGATTTCTAGCAACATATATTTGCAGTTTATACACGAATGTATCGATGATCTAATTGGTAGAAGAAAAATAGAGTTAAAAACGTACAAGGGAGAAATAGAATCGTCAAATGAACATTTTCAGAAAGCCGTAACGATAATACAGGATCTGTATTCTAAAACTGCTCTCAGTAAGACTCAAAAATATGAGCTAAAAGTTCCAAATTTGAAAAACGAATATCAGTCATGCTTACAAGAATGTTATGATATACGGAAAGATGAAATTGAACAATGCCTTTTCAAGAAGGAATTATCTAAATGTAATCAATTGTTTGTTGAAAATATTGATTGGAAACTAAAGTGGATAATGGGTAGTTCTACTCTTTCTACTCTGAATAAGCCCATTTTACAGATGCAGTTGCATTGTTTGAAACGACAAAGTGATATTACTCAACCATGCATTTATTTTGAAATGGAAGTACAACAAGTAGAAAAACTTATAACAGCACTAGAAAAGGTCCAAAAAAAGTTAATTGAATTAAAGTAATTATAATTTATATCTCATGCATTTTGAATATTTAATATCTTTATGTGTAATGATTTTGTATGTGCATTTTATGATTAATAAGCTTGTATGTTGCTGTAATAATAATGGATTTGAAAAACTTTTGTTGCATATATTATAAATACATTTTGATCAAAAGGCTAAGACTCACAGCCAATATATTCTGAAGAGAGCTTAATGATAGTAGTCCAAAATTGGTTATTACTGTGGATAATTGACTCCCATCAGTGAACTTACCAAAACAAATATTGAGCCCTCTTAAAATTTCAAATGCATGCTTAGTTATTAGAAAATAAGGTTAACCATTCAAGTACAACTCACATATGTTCCCTAATAATTACTATTCAGTCTTTTAAAATTATTGTAGAGACTTACCGGTTATTTAATTAGTTACACTAATTGCAAATGATCATGTTTATAAAGACAGTTTCAATGTTACACACAATTAACTTCTTTCTGTTAAAACATAACCACATCTATGAACCCACTGCAAAGCATAACTTTTTAATGACTATTAAAAATATATATTCGGAAATACATTATTAGAATAAAACACTACAGAACACTCGGGACATTTTTTGAACTTTGAAAACACGACGCTACTCATGCGCAGTAAAAACAAAAAGCAATCTACCAGAGGCGTAGATTCAATTTTTAAATAGGATAATTTTATATTGGAAAACGAATTTTCTGAAAAAATATATATATAGATCTCAATTTATCCATAAAACTAAATATTTTCAAGTGAATTTGAGTACACGACAAATTTACTTAAATAAATACACACTCGAAGGTATTGACGAAATTCGCAGACTGGGAGTTTAGGCAAAATTGACTTTTGTGACTGGTTGTAACAGAAAATACGCCAATTTACAGCGCGGAATGCTAGTAACAAAACAATATTGCGTATATAAATTATACAACACGATGTATACACTATTTTAATGAATTTCTATTTTCAATTGAGCAAAACTAGGTAACTAGGTGCTACACCTAATCATTTGTATATCTCTATCAATTCATTACACCAAAATGAAGATTCAAATATGTTAGATGACAAAAGACTATTAAACATGTTAAGACATTACACTGAAATAAAACTGTTAACTAGAAAATAATAAAATAAACAAAGCGTCACATAGATTTTATATAACTATTTTTAAGTTAAAGTAAATATAAAAACGCTTGTGTAAATAAAGGAAATAAAACTACGAGAAAGATAGGAAACATTCTAGGTATATTTTATTTATAAACACATACACACATACAATATTATATATAGGGAGAATACACAGCCATTTTGATACTTCCCAAATTACAGAGGATGGGGCAAAATATCAAAATATCGGCTAGACTCTAAAATTATAATAAAATTTTTTGTGTTAAGAACTAGACTAACGTATTAAAATTTTGATACACCAAAACAAGAACTAATTTCGTTGTGAACAATATTTTATACAAAAGTGGGGTCAATTCAGTTAATCCACCAGCAATATTTATCCTTATGTACCGCCCATAAATTTAATGCAACTAAGGAAAAGCTGCCATTTTGCTATCTCTTTCCTTTTAGTTGTAACTGTAGTAGTAGACACCAATCACACATAAAAAATCCTCACTAATTCCCCATCTTTTTTTTTTTACAAAAAATTACCTGTATTCGAATTAATAGAACAAAAAGAATATGATACAGATACAGCAACATTATTTAAATAATAAACACGACTCTTGGACAAAATAATACACACTCAAAGTTACTGCCAAAGCATAAAAATTAAGAGCTGGAAAACAGAATAAAATTAATCAATTAACAGGACTACTTACGACTTCAAAGGAATTTGTTGTTTGTTGAAGATGATAATAATTATGATAAGTGATTACAGAAGTTTATGAGATTACTACTCTTAAAAACTCTAAAAACTATGCTATATGTATTTTACAATTGTATATTTCATTTTAAAAAGTATTAATATATATGTATAAAAATCGTCCAAAATTTCTCCAAATTTCCTTTTTGCTATTTTTTGACGACTATTCGAAATGTGTTAATCTAGTAATTTCGACATAAATAAGTCTTTATCGACAACTACTACTTAAATTTTTTTCTCAAGAATGGGTTTGCAGCCTAACAAAAAAATGGCAGTGTCTTTGTTACGCTTGGTCGATTGCAGTCACTGCCAGGAATGACTTCCAAATTACTTTCGGTTATTATTAACACATTCGAAATGTTCACATAGGGTTAAAACTTTTACATCAGAATAGTAGTACACATTGTTTTATTCTTCCACTGCAGCAGCAGTTGGTTCCTGAAACCAAAACAAAGTGCAACTAACTAAAAGATTGTAAAATAACATCTTTTAATGCTTCATACGCACATTTTCTCTTACTGAAATATTTATGATCAACAGAAATATCAATAAAACGATAGAACCAATAAAATGCAACATAAATTGCTTTTTATTATATATATAATATTTACCTTATTCTCTTTAACTTCTCCTTCAGGTTGCCTGTCTCCTTGTCCAATCTCGTTATTAATAACTGGTTCGATTTCTTTAACCACCTGAGAAAAGACAGGATTGCAATAATTAGAATTTTCTTTTAAGTTTGTAACAATTAATAAACAAAATCAAACTAAATTTTTAAAACTCATCAAAGACAGACACATATGTATGTATGTATGTTGAAAATACAAAAAAGTTGCATGTCACATTAAACAGCAGCAAAAACACTAAACTATATCACAGCATTCGTGTTAGTACAATGTAGTAAGACACGAAAGAAATCCGAAACGTTGACGAAATCAACAATAACAGCGTTTGTTAATGTTTAAGGTAAACAATTTTCCGTTATGTCTTGCACTATTATTCACCTGTTTGATTGGTCGATCGACAGATGGCGGGACATCAGCGACTGGCGAGGAAGATTCATTGGCGTTGCCGTTCATAACAACTGCTTCAGTTGGAGGGAGGGGGTTCTGAGAAGGGGGTATAGAAGTTTCCGTTTTATCTAATGCAGGAGCAGGTACTGAATCTACTACGTTGTTGGCAACGGAAGTGGTATCTGATGCTATGGGTTCTGGAACGGCGTCTAGAGGGGGTAGTGACATAGGCTCTGGAAGACTGTCGGAAATGGGTTCAGGTAATGATGGAAGAGATTCAGTCGAAATGTCAGGTAAAGAATCGCTTTTCGGAACTGGTGATTCACTAGGCTGCGAGATCAGCTTAACGGCAGAAACGTCAACAGCTTCTTTAACGATAGGGGAAGATAAAGGAGAAGAGGACACCGCATTTTCAACAGATGTAGGTAGTTCTGGCTTATTTTCAGTCTTATTTTCAGATGGCGAGGTAGATTCGGGCAATGTTGGCACTGATTCAATTTGCTCCTGCGTTTTTACTTGTTCAGGTTCAGAAGTTGTGATATTTTCTTGTTGGTCCTTAATTTGTTCCGGGGAAGCAGCAGTTTTTTGTGCTGGTTCAGAAGTAACAACAGGTAACTCAGTTTTCAATGGTTCTTGCGCAGTCTCAGAAGGTCCCTTATCTGACAACTGTTCGGGAACAGTTGGTGTTATTTCTACTAGTGTTTGTTCAGGGGTATTTACAGGAAGTTTTTCGGGAGGTAGCTGCTCGGATAAGTCAATAGTATTTTCTACATTTGTGACTGGTTGTTCAACAACTGCAGTAACTTCATTACTAGTGGGAATTTTTGGCACTTCTGGATTTTCTTTAAGAATTTCTGGCGTTTCTAATGAAGATTCTTTTAATACAGGAGTTACAATTTCAGTAGGTCGGTTTTCAGCAATTTGTGATTGATCGGGAACTTTAGGAGATTCAGAGGAGACAACAGTGAGTTGAGTAGAAGGTTCTGTTGTTGGTAAAATTTCTGAAGGTTTTGTGGGAGTTTCTATGGGTCCATCAGAAGGTGGTTGGGTAGTATTAGGAACTGAAGCTTCAGAAGTCGTTTGCTGTAAAAGAGTTTCGACTGGTTGTTCTAATTTTGTTGCAGGCTCTTTAGGTTGTTCTACGGGAGTAGCAACGTTCAAAGGTGCAGGAGAAATTACATCAGTAGTTTGTTGACTTGTCTCAATCTTTTGTTCGACTACAGAACTAGAAGAAGAAACGTCTTTGTTCTCAGGTTGTTTTTCAACCTTTTCGGGACTAGGAACGGGGCTCGACTGAGCCAACGGTTCTTTAACCGGAGAAAGAGGAGTGCTTTCGTTAACCGGAAGAGAAGTTTGTGACACGGGCGGTACTACCTCGGCCATAGTAGATTCAGCGAATACCGTCACCGAAGAAGGTGGATTAGAGGAAGGCAAAGGAGGAGGAATTTCCTCACTACGCACCTCTTTGGTCTCCTCGACCACGGGTTCAACAGGTTTGGGTTCTTCGACAGGGACTTTAGGTTCCTCTACTTTAGGTTCTTCTACAGGAGGTTTGGGAGCTTCCGCAGGAGGAGCATTTTCAACTTCCTTTTCTTTAACGTTCTCTACGGGGGCTTCGTTAACGGGCTTTGGAACCTCTTCGGACTTCGTTTCCGGTGTGGCTTTTGATTCAACGTTTGTTGCAGTTTTCTCGATTTCTTCAGGTGCAGCATCACCATTGGCAACGGATTTTTCTGGGGGCTGTTCTTCTACCTCTTTCTTAGTTTCTTTGGCTTCCGGTGAAGCTACTGGTTCTTCCGTACCCTAAATGAAACAAAATCAAAAAAGGTAAAATTATTACAGTAAACAATACAAGCATGACTTCTGTTTTTAAAAATATATTAAGAATATTGTCTGAATATTGACGTTTTCATAAATACAAGGATCAAAAACATGTACGATTAAATGAATGGAAACTTAATTTACGTTGACAAACTTATTTATCGTAGCGCCTCAGCGTGAACATCGTTCTAATTAATAATAGTAATTAAATGATAAAAATAACTTCAGTTATATAAATGTTTCTCTGTATGTGTGACGGTCGGCTTAATATTTCCCAAGAGAGCTATTCTTCAAGCCCGCAGTTAAATAACTTAATTTGCTTATTTATGAGTACAAAATAAAGGTCCACTTGTCCCCTCGATAACCTCATTCTTGACCTTACATTACGGATTGTTGAGTTGACTGATCTTAACATTCACTTATAACAAAAAGTGTTAAAAACGTTTTCATATTATATGATTATAATTATGAAAGCTATTGAAGTTTATAAAAAAAAAGATTAATGATTAACTTTATTAATTTAATTTTTAATCGGATTAACGTGGTAGATAGTTCTTAATAGCAGATACAAAAACTTTCTATGTATTTTATAAATTATTTTTATATCTATATATTTTACACTTATTTAGCTGTATGTGTGGGTGGATTGATGGGCGAGTGCCAAAACAACGAAAGTATACTATAAAAATACTTTAATCCGTTGATAAGAGATGATGGGACATCGTTCTTTGACATTTGGATTACAAACGGTTATGTCATACATTATGTTCAAAAATACATTGTGGTACGAATTCCAGTCTATTTTTATCGTAATCGCTTTCCCATTCATGTTTTGTAAACTAGCATTTTTGTCAAAATTGTTTTTTAAATGCTATTTAAACAAAACAAAGTTCGTAGGTATAAAAAAAGAAGTTTTATAATTTTATAAATTAAAATATTTGACAGAGGCGCTGAACTAGACAGCATTTTTGATTAATATAAAATATGTACCGATATTTACAAAATCCGTACAATTTAAAAACTACAAAAAGAAGTGCATGCATAGCGCAGTAGGCGTTCTTTTTCCGTGATGCGTATGTTGTGTATTTACCTATAATACATTTCTGCCAAAAATTAAAAATAACTTACTGCGTATAAACAACAAATAACAGGCGTTTATCAATATTATATGTTGAAACCCTACTGTCATGTTTGAATAGTGTAAAGTGTAAAAATCTAAGCGCCTACTACAATAACCAAGGACAGATGTAATAGCTTCATTATTTTAGATTATTGCCAAAAACTGTCCAATTGGATGATTTTAGAATGAAGTTTATATAAAACCGTTAAACAATATTTCAATCTTTACCCTTTTCGATAGCTTACTCTTTAATTTTCGTGAGTTACATATAAGTACAAAAATTAACAAAAACTAAATTTTCACCATTTTACGACTGTCCTAAATTAATATAAACATATTTATGAATCAGCCTCTAGAAATTAAAATAATGGAGAAAATATCGCAAAAGACAAAAAAATGTTAAAAAAATTTGAAACTGAAGAAACAAAAAAATCGAAATATTGGGTTAGGTACCCTTTAGATTCCGTGAAACGCCGTAAGTAAATAGTAGCCTAATATTTCAATTTTAATGAAGTACAGCAAAAATATTTGTGCAAACGAAATTAGAATTTTATGTAAGAAGCTTTGAAGCAATTTTAATGTTAAAAAAAATTAGACTACCCTGCTGTAGGTTTCGGTCGACGCGCAGCATCCATCTCCAGCAAAATATTTCGTGAGGAGCGATTTGAGAGCAAAAGCTAAGAAAGCGGTCAAGAAGCAAGTGCAAACGGTCGCCGAAAGCCAGCAGTAGTAGTAGTAGGGTGTGTCGTCGTCGGAAGAAGACTTATCAATATCTCCTTCCGTCGCCACGTTATCAATTGTTACCTGACGTTCCATGGCTACTACGAATTATACGAAGAAGAGAAGATTTAACCACCCAGAGAAGACACCTCTTCAAGCGGAGAAGCACAAAATTTTATTTAATATTTAACAAAATAATTATTTATCTGATCAACAATCAGTGTTGTCTGCTGTTGGTTACTGGTCACGCGAGCGCTAACGCTTTGAATAAATACTGAGACAGATTTGCGACTTGCAAGTATTTATAGACACTCCTTTGGGTAGGATAGGTTTACACCCTCCTATAAAATACCTACGTGGGAGCTGCAGCTACTTCGTCTTGCCCAGCTGGAGACCGATGCACGAGAACGATCATACCCACTAAAGACACAGAACAATTGCAGGCATGTTCAATAAGTTGCCAGGGTGTCAATGAAACTACTGTTTCAATTCCGTTTTCCATTAATTGGTGTAATAAGATTTAAAGAATTTTCTGTATTTTAGAATTATTAATTTTAGATGATGAAAGGATTATTTTCCCCAAAACCGTCATTGGAAGATGTTTTGGCTTCTGCCAATTACGATTTTGTAATATTGGAATGTGTAAAATCTCATTTTATTTTGAAATTGTTACAAGCCGTCGATCTCTTAATTAGGTATTAGCAGCAGTGGCATTTTGGAATACCTATTAGTTTCTATTGGCTGCTGCAGTATGCATTTCTTGATGGACTTTCAGCGTATGTAATGTTACACTGTTAGATACATTTCTGCACTGACACGACACGTGGTGAAGAACATGGAAAAAAGGACACATTCGATTTCTTGCCATCAGCGAGAGCAATTTTATCTCTCAGCGGCCATCGTAGGCTCGGTAAAACCTTATAAATACTCGCTGCAATGACCTAGGTCGTGAACACTGCACTATTCCTCTCTCTCAATGAAACCTTTCTTTTTTACTTTTACGACTTGGCAGAGGTCCTAATGCAGATGTCTTTATCCGTCCCAAAAACAATGTCCACAACATAAATTACCACCATGGTCCATTAATAGATCCTTGGATTATAAGGAAATGAGAAAATAGTGAAGAACAAAAGGAACATTGTCTATGCTAACTCACCACTCGAATAAAAACTGTTTGCATATTTAAACATTACAAGGGAAGTTTCTTAGTACAGGGTGCATGCAACTGACATATACAAAATCAATATTTTTAATTCTATTAGAAACAATGTTGTAATTATATTGTAATGTGCGTTAATTACTTCAAGCTCAAAGCACTATTACTTATTACAACTACGCGTTCAAATAAATCCCGCGGATTTTTATTTTCTTGTGTGTGTTGAATTTCCTTTGTAATCTTATACAGGAAATCATATGCTCCTACGTTTTTAACCAGTTTGGTTTCTCTGGTGTCTTTGAAAGTTCTATTTTTCTATCAGAACTCGCTTATCTGTAAGTAGGCGTTTAACACTATTTATTACTATATTTTATAAATGGGATACACCTACTGAAAACTCCATATTTAAGTTCAATTTCACCCAGGAAGTAGAAGCCTCTCCCTTTCTGATGAAAATAACTCCTTTGTTGTAGTGATTAAATCGATAAAGTGATCAATTTTTCGATAGCATACTGTGTGTTCAATTTGATTTGATGTACATACAAAAAGTTTCATTAGTAACTAATGAAATTCGATGAATTGGTAACATATCTATTTGGAAACAATAATTCTGAAAAAACGATTAACAATACCACATGTACATACACTTGGCTTCCAAAATTTTTTCTTATTTAATATGGAATAAATAATTCCGAAACGAAAATTTTATTCTTTAACAATCTTCTCATAAGAATAACAAAATGCGTCTTTGGCAGAAAATTTCAAACACTGTCAGTCGCAATTGCAAATTTAATTTCAGACCGTGGATACGAATTACTGCATCCGCAAATTGCCATCACTATCACACGCATGCTTTTATACATATATATGCATGCATACTATATATAGTAGATAGCAAAACATAGTACATCTATTTTTTTAAGGTGTCCAACGCGCCAAATACTTTTCGTCAAAGATTATGTCAGAAAGGCATAAATAAATTTTATTGTTCGATGTGTACGTATCAGCATCATTTACTCAACATCGGTGATATTTCGGTTGCTAAAAATGTGGGACACCGGAAAACAGAAGGTTTAGCCTTTAGTATAAAGCACGAATGTCTAAATTCAGAAAATGACACAAACTTGTAATTTGCGTATGCATTTTCTAAAAAAAAAAAGGAACGCTGGGTGGATTTATTTTATGGCTTTTCTTTAATCGGCTCATAATTGACTTGATACTTCTTTCATAAAGTTAACATAAAAATTAGAGATGGGAAGAGTACGCGGATTAGAGGTACCCGGAGGATCCAAGCATTTTATTTAGGATCCGTCTGGTACTTTGCCCAAAACGGAAAAAACAGCAGTGATAATAATATTAATTAATATATATAACGAAATCATTTTAACTATCAATGATTCCAAAAAACACCACTAAATAAATAAATTTAACATCCAAGTTCAAATTTTAATCAGAGAGGTCATATATCAGGTTCGAAATAGAAAGGGCGCGAAAACCTCAAAAAAACAAATTGAATTTTCAATAAAATGAAATGCAAAATTACGTTATGAATGTGGAAATTTTAGAGAAAGTAGCTATGTATACTTGAAAATTCATTAATTTTCTTTGATATGTATCCGGGTACTCGACAGAGTTAACGTTGAATACCTGATTACCCGGTACCCAGCAAACCACTACCCGATCCATGTCTAATTAAGTAATTTTCTTTTGATAAAGCTTTTATACACAAATTTCACATAAATATCCCCCTTGCTAAAAATCAATAAATAATGAAGTAACGAAGCCAATCCAAAATCAAAAACTAAAAGTCAAACCTCTTGATGTTGACTTGGCTTTGTCGCAATTTTTTTAAACACTATTTACCGTACTTGAATTTTTGTAGTTTTAAAATTGTAAGTGAAGTAAAGTATATATTTTTGAAAACTTTTTGAGCATTTTTATTAGATCGGTTTGATATTAAACCTTTTTATCGTTCTTATATGACTT